AGGCTCAGGGGCTGCCCTGCACCCTCTCAAGCCCATTTCTTCACCTTCTGCGCGCGCGGTGCCTGAGCTAATTGCTCCATCCCAGCAAGCCGTCACCTTGTGGCATTTACTGTTTTCTAATTTGCTGTAATTACACAGAAATCCCACGCTCTCCCGGCAAAGGTGGGATCTTGCTGATGGCCTCGCAGCTCCCGGGTCTTTCTGAGCCCAGGATTTCGGGGTCTCCTCTGAGCTCCCTCCAGCCCAGTGTGGAGCCACGTGCCCAAAGCCCTTGGGGTGCCTGATCTGGAGACACAGCCCTGCTTGTGGGGTCCCTGAGACGGGGACCGCCGGGCATAAGCCACCCCGGGAACTGGACACGTGCACAGCCCCACGCACACCCTCAGCACCATGCACACCCAGAGCACTGTGCACACCCGCAATGCTCACATACACCCACAGCACCATGGCCATCACAGCACCGCGCACGCCCACGGTGCTCACGCACACCCGCAGCACCCTGCGCACTGCAGCATCCCACGCATACGTGCAGCCCCGTGCACAGCCACAGCACCATGCACACTTGCAGCGTCCCGTGCATGCCCGCAGCACCCCTTGCACCCTCATGCTCCGCACTGGGGCCAGCGGGGCTGTGCAACCCAGCAGCGAGCGATGCTCAGAGCCGTGATCGCTGCAGCCCCATCCCTCCCTGCTCCCCACTTTCCCTCTCCCACGAAGGACAAATGAGGTCACCCCCATGCTGGCTGGTTTTTTTCCAGTGTTTTCCTTTATTAATTTATACAAAAATGGTTGCAAGTGACGCAAGCTGATAACAACCCGCCACCATCCCAGCCCTGAGCCCAGCCGCCAGCCGGGGCCAGCATCCCTGGAGAGGGGCAGGCGGGGGAGCACCGCGCAGGTGGCGCGCCCTGGCATAGCACCCCAAAACCTGGACAGGCACAGGGCACCACGGTCCCTGCACCGGGGGAAGAGCAGAGAATATGCCCAGGCCACGAACGGCAGCGTCGGGGCTGGCCCGGAGGCCCGGGGGCCCCCTCGAAGCACGAGGCAGAGCGGTGGCAAAGGGGGTCCCATCGGGCGGCAGGGCATGGGGCCGGGGGGACGAGCCCGCACATCCAAGGGCTTCTGGGGGAGAGGAGCCGAGTCCCCCTCATTGCGATGCTCCAGGGCTGGGGGACCTGCAACTGGAGGGTTTTCGGGGCTGGAGGTGGGACAACCCTGGGGGTACAGGCTCTAGAGCAAAGGACAGAGAAAGGCGGCTCCAGAGCTGGGGGCAGGAACCCCCTTACCAACTCCCTCCCGCCGCAGCCC